AGGAGGCAATATAAATCAACAGATTTAGTAGTTATTTGAAAATCATCACCTTTCTGCCAAGAACTTGCATGATTTGGAAACTGCTTTAGTGGAAAATTTTCACTGAAACATATAGTTACCTGGATAGACTGCTGAGTGGATGCTGGGGAGATTAAAGGGACAAGTAACTTAACCCCATCTGCCTGAACAAACGACGATCTGACAACAGGTTCCTTAAGGAGTGACGACAGACAGCTGATTGCAATTGGAACACCACGCGTAGGATGAGAAGGTTGCTTCAACTGCATATCAAAGTTAGCATTGTAATATCTATGATGGACATCAAAAACATTTCTGGATTCACTATTTCACAGTCTAAAGGTTCCCGCCATGTCACCAAACTTGCATCTAAATATTTACCAAAATCAAAGAGACTTTTTGACTACGCAGAAGAATTGTTTGTTTTTGATTGAACTAATTTGGTTTGTGTTACTGTTTGCATTTGCGTAATATAACAAAGGCATGACGAGAGTAGAATTGTTATTGCTGAAATGTTAACTGCCTCAGTTTTTGCCACAATTTATATGCTATGCCACTGAACTCTAGCTCTAACAATGGCATTGTCTACACGACAAAGACAACTAACACTTAGCTAAACACTGGTGCAGGACCAACATAAACAAGAAAGAAAACAAAGAGGAAAGAGAGTAAGAGAAAAGAAGAAGAAACCTGAGCACAAAGCCACTCCACCAAACCCTTGAGAACATCATCAATTGTAGTAATCTGTTTCTTTGAACCCGAAGCTTCTCCATTAGCAATAGCACCAGTACCAGCTTTTGGCCTAGCACTATATGTAAATGTAAATGAGGTTCATGTTTGATAGAAGTATGATAGATAAGCAGTATTGAATACCTTATTATCCAGGCAAGGATCTTGCAGCTTTTTTCTTGAATGAACCAATTTCCCTTCCACAGCAACCTGAAAAAGAACATATCTTTTAGCTTGCCTACTTTTAAAGATAAGCAGACAAAATCAAACATAAATGTAACTGAAAGCAGTTTCCCCCAATTGAGTTTTGCATATGTTTCCCCCTTTGGCAGGAAGATTGTAGTTAATTTAATAAACCGACTCAAATCAGGATCTCAGAGAAAAACGAGCAAGGACCAAGGCAATAGAACAAACAAAGCAACGAAATCTTGTGCTGGAACCACTACAATTTATAGGCAGGACCAAAAAATCAGGTCAAGTGAAAATGTCCCACTAAACAAAACACACAGACAGATTGATTCTTGTTTGAGAGATAGCCATATCCTATCACTAGGAAAGATCAGGTTTCATTTGAATACAAGAAAACTAGAAAGGAAATCTGACACGTTAATAGGTCAAGTAAGAGAACGAGCAAAATGGAAGAAATCCTAGACCTTTCCAAAGCAGAAACAGCAGATTTGATCCAATAAGCGACTTTATCCTTAGAAACAATACTTGACTAGACCAAATTACAGTCATAACACTACTACATAGTAGTTGCTTACCTCAAGAAAGGCTCGTAAGTATCCTCATGTGCCAAAGATTTATCATGGAATAACCGAGCTCGTGTTGGGTTTTCTGTCAAACAGTTGATACATTAATATTAGTCCGTATCTAACTAAATGAAGAAAATTTAAACCCACATATCTTCAGGTTTCATTTACCTGAGAGCATTTCATAAATCAAAGCCAAAACATATTCAACTGTTTCTTCCTTAAATATATCACGTAAGATGCTAACAAACAGATGAACATAAGCTGGACCATCCTGCAATAACACCACCACATATTATCACTTCATAACAAGGTAAACGCCTTGTAGAAGATTTACTAATCAGAAGAAAGCTTTGTAGAAGATTTACTTCATCCAGCAACTGTGCCCTTGCACTTTCGGGTTTCTTATCGTAGCGCCTTAAATGCTGGAGACCTGTTGCTGAAATCAGCTTAGTTGTCATGTAAGTCTCCCATGGTATGTCTCTTTTCAATACCTACAAAGTACAAACAACAACAGAGATTGAATCAATTCTGCAGATTTAGTTACTTAATGAATATGTAAATGTATGCAAAATCAAATCACAAACCTGCACCAAAGTTAGTTCTGCATCATCCATGGATATAGTTCAGAAGCTTAAACAACACTTGAGATTGAACACTACTGATCCAAAACCCTACAATTGTAAGACAGAACAAAGCATAAGTTTCAAAAACTCAGATCAAGTAGCAAACGCAATTCAAATATCTTTCAAAATCTATTGAATCAGAATGATAGAATAAAGAAAGGATTTGATTTAAGAAAAGTGAAAATGAGTTTTTGACCTGAAGGAGAAGACAAAAGTGAATGATCAAGAGAGATAGAGAGAGCTTCTCTTAAACTCGGATCTGAAGCGTGGAAGGAAGTTAGAAGAAGAAGACAGCTTTCTATTTACTGGAAATTACGATATTATCCCTATCTTTTTTCGCCTTCGTGTCGTCTTCTTCGGTGGGTCTGACGTCGCCGTATTGGTGCCGTTGGATCTTTCTACGGAGGTTTTGTGTTTACCGGCGAATCGATTCCGTTGGTCGAAGATGGACCCGTCGGTTTTTTTTTTTGCAGGAATTGTTGTATATTTGGGCCTTTGGGAAGCTGAAAAGCCCATTAAAGATTGATTAATTTAATCATGATGGTGGTTAAGCCCATTAATCAATTTCTTTTGGAGGTTGAGATGTGTGATGATTTAGTCATGGAGTGTTGAAATTAATAATCCATGGTTGATGAATTTTGATGTATATTTGCAGAGGGTATATTGGATGTGTATAGACAGAAAGATGGAATTTGTCTAATATTGGTGTTGTTGCTTGACTTTGGAACTCCTTTTGGGAGATTTTGGAACATTTTTCATTGAATTTTTCATGTTAAGCCATAAAAACTTGGAAATTCATCCATGGCAATTCCAAAAACCTTATTTTATTTTTGGACGGATATTAAACCAAATGTAATTTTGGGTGCTAAAATCTACACTCGAAATTTGTTCTTAGTTTTTATGGACAAAGAGGACTAGATTTTCAATGATGCTTTGAGAGTTGAATTTCTAAAGAACGAAAGGATTTTATTATTGATGAAGATCAACAGATTACAATGATAAGTATGAGAGTACAAATATTTGTGAGTATTAGGTTTTGTAGCAGGTAGGCGATGATCTTCCTTAAGTCGCCCTTCTTCTTCTTATATAGGTCTTCAAGTCAGGTCAACCGCCTCCGAGATCCGCGCCGGTATCTCCTACAAATCAGGTTTGTTCCGAGAATATAGCTGACATGGTCAATCATCCTTATTAGGTCGCAACGCCTTCCTTGTGGGCCGTCGGGCTGGGCTTGTTGATGTAAAGCCCATTAATATTTTTGCTAATGGATTTCGAGGTGCGAAATCCAGGTCCAACAGTAATCTAATCCATAAACGGTTTTATCGCAATAATCATTCAAAGCCTTGGAATCTTTTAAAAAAAAAAATTAAAATCTAAGAAATCAAACCAATAAACTTGAAATCATCAAAATCCAAACAAAATCGAACCGTAGTAAACCGGAAAAAAAAAAAAAAAACAAAAAAACAACTAATCACTTGGTGGTAAATCTCTGTTGGGATTATATTCCTCACAACAGAATTTTTAATTGGTCCACGTTGGTATTGTTCCTCCATCAGAAGAAGAACAGAAACAAAAATCTCATTATCTAAATTGGAAAAAAGATACCTAGCTACACGAAGTATGCTACAATACATGGCTACACATCCGAAGTTTAAAAATGTATCCCTAACTACACAAACTATATGTATCGCATGCCCACATATACGAACTATATGTAGTCATGTCGCCAACATCACGAACATTTTTTTCCGGTACACTTTTCGCCGGAATCCGGCATTGACCAGTTTGACCGGCGTTGACCAACATAAATATTAAAAAAAAAAATTTAGTTTTTTAATATTTAGAAAATTATGTTATTGAATCATTTATAATATTGTATAATTAAAAAATATATACAATATTTAATATAAAAATATTTTGTATATATATTCAATGCATTGATTTTTATAATTAGTTAGTTTCAATAATTTCAAAACTAAACTAAAAATAAAACAAAAACCAATTAGGTAAAATAATTATAAATAGAAAATTTTAAATACTCTCTAGTCTAAAGGTTTTTTTTATAATATGTTGTTAATTTTTTTGTATTATTAAAAGAATTTTTCGTAATAATTTTAGATACAAAAATTAACAACATATTATACAAAAAACTTTAGACTAGAGAGTATAGAAAATTTCATATTTACAATTATTTTACCTAATTGGTTTTTATTTTATTTTTAGTTTAGTTTTGAAATTATCGAAACTAACTAATTATAAAAATCAATGCATTGAATATATATACAAAATATTTTATATTGAATATTGTATATATTTATTAATTATATAATATTATAAATGATTCAATAACATAATTTTCTAAATATTAAAAAACTAAAAAAAAAAATTGAATATTTATGTTGGTCAACACCGGTCAACGCCGGTCAAACTGGTCAATACCGGATTCCGGCGAAAAATGTACCGGAAAAAAATGTTCGTGATGTTGGCGACATGACTACATATAGTTCGTATATGTGGGCATGCGATACATATAGTTTGTGTAGTTAGGGATACATTTTTAAACTTCGGATATGTGGCCATGTATTGTAGCATACTTCGTGTAGCTAGGTATCTTTTTTCCTAAATTATATTGTTAACTTAACCATGGTTAACACATTAAACCCTAGGGTTAGATTTTGACCACCTTCGTATAAATATATATGTAACCCTACATCACTCGCAGTCGCAGCCCCCAATAAATTACATCTGCATTTCTCTGCACCATGAAACCAATTCTTTATTCTCTCGATTTGCTTATCATTTTCTCTGTTTCTTTTATACAATTGTGTTTTTGTTTCACTTCTTTATAATGATTTTTTATAGTTGTATACCCATCTGATTGCAAATGATGAGTTAATCACCATTGATAAAAGAAGCTCAAATTATTGAGCAGTGTTGGAAATCATAAACTTCCATGACTCTGATGCAATTTTCATCAACAAATCCTCAAATTCTTTTAACGATTTTTTTCTGGTCTCTCAGATTTTGTTAATAATCATTTAATTTTGGTTTTCAAATCTATATTTATTTATGAAGTTATTCTCTAGTCTCTACATTGTTTTTTGACATTCGATTTCAGTCAGATCTACCTAAATTATTCCTATTCAAAAGTATTTCTCATTAGTGTTTTTTAATCTATTTTTTCTATGCATCTTTAGTGTTTGATCAAAATTGAACTTCTGTATAACCAAACTGAAATGTATAACTTGGCCAAAAAAAAGATGTAAATCAAAAACTGTAACAGTGACGAAAAAATGAACAAGAAAAGCTCCATTTACAATATACACCAAGAGAAAAAGATGAAGAAGATGGAATCAAAATCAGCAGTGGTTTTGGTGCCCAATAGCCGTTAAAATGTTGTTATCATTACAATTCTCATAACCAAACAAAAAATAAACAACAATGGATTGTCTTCTGTTCTAAGAATCGAAAGTTACGAAGCATCGTTATCATTGTCCCCATCGAAATATTCATCGTCTCTTTGGACCTGCTTATCTCGCGAACGCTCTGAAACAATCAAACCGTTTACAATCTAACATTAGTCACTGAGAAAGCAAAGGGACTAAAGTAGATTTCAAGGTGGTTATCGATACTTACGATCCACACGTTCATCCGGGTTTTGTTCGTCTTCATCAAAATCCGGTATGTAGAAATCCGGTGGAACCTAAGAAATTCAAGTAAACAACTGATCAGTGTTAAGATAACACACAAAAAAAGAAGATTGATTAAAGCATCAGTTGTCCTATGATGATCCGAGTTTACCTCCTGCATCTGTACGCTTGGAGCGTGTTGAATGTATCGCAAATTCTCCAAAATCTGCACTTTGATCGAACTGATGTATGATTTGGTATTCAGATTCTCCTGTTTCAATTAAAATACACAAAACATCAAGTATATAAATTTTGTTAAAGCAATGAGGAACTATAAGTGACATAAGAGCTCCTTACAATGTGACCACCCGGTATCTTCAAAGAAAAATCCGGCGCAAAATACTTGATGTAGTCGTTTTCAGGAATCTCTGCAGAACAATTAACCTGTGAGCATGTGACGTTAACCGTACTATAACAAACATTAAGAAATTTACTAACCATTAGGAAGTTCTGTGTCCAAAAGAATGCCAGTCTCAACGGTCCAACACCGAGCTACATTCTCCTTTGTGTATCCTCCACCTCCTGTAACCTAATAAACAATCAGTAAAAAACTGACTTCGTCATCAATGAACTTATGATTACAGAAAGGAGTCGTACATATAGAGTCAAGAGAGATTAAATACCAGTAAGGGAAGATTGAACTTCTTCACAAATTTAACACATTCGGCATGTCCTGGAAAATGCATAGCAGAAGCCATTTTAAAACCCGATTCGCAAAGAAACTAGCAAACGAGAGATTGAAAGAGAGAAAGAGATTTTGATTACAAGAAGAAAAAGCACCATCAATAGAGAGATTAAAGCATCCTAGTCGATCCCTGGCCAGTGAATCTGCCCCACATTGAAGAACAATTGCACCCGGTTGATATATCTCAACAACCTTGGAAATTATCTAGAGATCAAAGGAAATGATCAAACACACAAAAACAGTGAAAGCATTGAGAATTTGATTGTTTCAGTTCAAGAACTTACTGTCCTGAACAGACGGTTGAAACTACTGTCATCAATTCCATCCTTCAGCGGCACATTAATGGCGTAAAATTTCCCTTCTCTTTCTCCTATTTCCTTTTAAAAGAAAAAAAACATCACAATGAAAATTCATCCAAACACATTGAAACCGTCCTCACAAATCAGGAAATGAATTCTGAATATTACTACCTTAACATCGCCTGTCCCTGGAAAGAACTTATCCCCAAACTTATGAAAGCTAACAGTCATTACTCTGCCATAACAAAATTCAAAGTTATTGGCAATCAATTTCTATAGAAACAACTTTCGAGAAGTAGTGTTATGGACTTGTAACTGTACCTGTCAGTGAAGTAAAAAGCTTCTTCAACTCCATCACCGTGATGAACATCTATATCTATGTATAGCACACGGGGATGGTGTTTTAACAACTCAAGAATTCCTAGTACAAGATCGTTGATGTAACAAAACCCAGATGCATCACATTTTTTGGCATGGTGCAGCCCGCCCGCCCAATTTATAGCAATGTCACACAGTTTGTTGTTTAACCTGCGTGCAGCATCTATAGACAAAATTTTCAGTCAGTCATTTCTCAAAAGTGACAAGCAAACATTAATATCAACTACGTGTATTTACCTATGGTTCCGCCGGCGTAAATTTGACAAAATTCAAACAAATCTTCAAAGACAGGACAATCCTCTCCCAGATTATCTGCATAACAGTAACTTCATTTCAGCAGAACATGTAGATTGCAAAAACCAATTAATGAAGATACACAACTTACATCTAGCCATTTCATTGGGGAACAGGTTCTGATTTTCTGGATTAATTCTTTGCAGGAACTCCACATAGTCGGGAGAATGGAACTGAGCCATCTCAATAGGATATGCCTTGTGTGGACGCTGAAACAGTAGAGAACATATAAAGAGTTCAATCAAGATGTACAGTGAGAACGTAAACAAAAGGAATAAAAGGATCACGAACAAGAAACATGAAAGATGAACAAAAGACTGACATAAACTTCCATCTTGCTATGGAGGCCATATGCAAGGATAAGATGATGAGTCATACAAAGCCTGTGAGGTTTCATCGGGTGATTTGGACCAAAATAGACGCTCCCCACATCCCCTGCAACCCAAAAAAAAAAAAACATTCAGCATAACATCACAATCTCCTATAAACTGCCACAAAGGCTCGGTCATCAACAAGAAAAAAATCTGAAACTCTCATCAGAGTTTGAATCATGCAGAACATCTTGAAGTACGAAAAGGAAAGTTATATAACTATCAAGTCTATAAAAGTTTCTCAGAGAGGAACCTCAACCTCGAAAGAACACAATTTCAAACATTATATGCAATGCTAAAGTTAACAAAAAAGTTATAGGGTTTCATATTTCAGCAAAGAAGTAACAAAGACTTGACCAAAACAATCAAAGAAGCCAACTTCACAAGAACTAGAGTCTTCTTCACCACAAGAAGACTTCTGGCTTAAGCTCAGACTAGAGCCAAGGAATCGAAAAAACAGAAATTTTACCTAAAACCCTTCTTCTTTTCATCAAAAACCCTACTTAAAAACTAATCGTAACCCTTTACTTATTCTAGACTCTAGATTTGAAAGATTCGACCTTTCGATGAATCTATTGAGCAATAAAGACACGTACGTAGTGCGGTTCAAGTGGATAAAATTGCTCAAGAGTTACAAGTGAAAACTTAGATGAATAAAGATTATCAATCTCAAGAACTATTGGATTTTTTTCTTAAAGAAAAAGAAAAGGGAAAGAGATGAATATACCATCATAAAAGTAGGAGATTTTGTCCTTAGAGCGCATCTCTTAAAGAAGAAAAGACACGAAGATCGTACGAAATCAATCTTAAAGAACGCCTATAAAGAGAAATTTCAAGTCTGCTTAGCTTCAGTTGAGAGATTAGACGATTTCTTCATTCATGAAGTCGCAGAGATTTCACGACTTCCCGGCGGAGCAGAGAAGAGGGAGCAACGAAGCGAAAAGAAGAGAGAAGAGAGGAACAAGGGGAGAGTCAAAAATGAAACGGTAGCGTTTAGTATTCTGATGACATGGCAGATGACGTCATTCAAGGTTTATTGATAAAAGCGGGTTTGACTCATGGGTATTAAAACCAGACGGTATTCTGTATACTGTAAATCAATCGGTTTAGTTTACTTTCTTCTTTCTTGTCATTCATAACAAGTAAACCGAATCCACTTGGACCGAGAGATGACCAAAACCAGTTTGAACTGTGATTTGTTTTCACTTGTTTTTTTTTGCGTCTTAGTCCGTCTCAGAAATTTTTTCAACAGTTCTATCAAGGAGTCACCATGAATACTACAATACAAGAAGTCTTTTCATGTGTCGAGATTATAACAAGAAAAAGTTGTCAGATTATATAAACTTGTTGAGTTATTTAGTTGTTGATCTCCCATGTCAATGTCACTACCAGAAACAAAAAAAGACCAACGTCTAGTAACCACTGTCTACTTGATTGATAGGTCGATATAAACCACCGACCAAACAATCTAAAAGACGCAAAAACCTCAACATTTTAATCCCAAGTTCAACGCCAAAAGAAGCATATCTACTAACCAAGATAATATCCTCATATCCTTCCTTCACTGCCAAAATACTTCAATCCTGGAATCTGTTTCTCAGACCAACAAAGAACCGAGATTGCAAATTTAGGATCCTTGTTTTCACATCCTAACTTTGAAACCCACAAGCATCGAATTTCTAGGAGCTTTTCTCTCTCAATCTTGTTTGGAGGAATTAACAATGTTGAGAGAAGCGACGACCTCAGCAGAGGTTCCTCTTATGGGACTTACCTTTTAGTTTTGGGTTTCTAACCTGATGCAGTCTATGTTTCACATGAACACGTGAATCTTCTTCGACACGTCCACCTAAACGCTCTTTTGCAGATAATCGACGGCGCGGAGTTGATGTGTGATCAACATTACCAAAATTCCTTTCATCAGTTAAGTATCGGAATTGGTCTTTGCTTGTTTCTCCATCCACTGCATAGTTCCCTAGCTTGTCTCTGTAATCATACGTTACTTCATGTTCACGGAACCTTTCACTATCTGCCTTCTCATAAGACATTCTTGATTGCTTAGCATCACCGTAGTTGTAATCATAAGCCATATTCTCATGCATAACCTCACTTGCGTCGTCTCTGAGACCATAATCATCTCTTGTACGCAGTATTGGATCATTTGAATGATAAACCTCTTGTCTACCATCTGGATATCTCATATTGGCATGAACTTGAACATGACCACCATTTCGTTGTTGCAAGCGCTCATCATC